AAAAGGCTGAGTGGACGCAACAGTGACTCGATAAGACTAAGATTTAAGTCTGAAATAATGTTAAAGACTAAAGAGAAAAAGTGGAGTCGAAGCTTCAAAGTCAAAGCTTGAAAGTCAAAGGCTATATGAACTATGGAGGTTGAAGAATATGAGAAGAGTTTGAAGTTTGAAGAGTTACAGTCTTCGAGAGTATTAGGGCAAGTAAGAATAGGAAAGGTTGGAAAGTGAGTTATAAGTGGAGTGGGATTATTTTTACTTCTAGAAGATGATGAGTCAAAAAAATCAATTAGTTAATTAGGGAATATTAGTCAATTATTAGAGGTTTAGGTGGGATTGGGAATTGGAAAACAAAATAAATAAATAATAAATTAAAAAATTTTATATTTTTAAACGAGTAAACAGGTCAAACCCGTTAACCCAATGAGTCAACCCGTTATTGACCCGTGACCCGTGACCCGTTGGGTTCTCTTAATGGGTCATTAACGGGTCACAGGTCATAAATATATGACCTTAACCCATTTTAAATGGGCGGGTAATGGGCGGGTAATGGGCGGGTTATCGGGTTGGGTAAAAAATTGCCAGGTCTACTTATTTAATATCAAGTTATAATATTTTATTAATTTTGTTAGCTGATTGTTAGTTTTGTTAGTTGACTATTAATTTTGTTAGTTGACTATTAATTTTGTTAGCTGACTGTTAGTATCCGTTAACATTCCGTTAATGGAACTAATAAATAAAATTGAATTTAAATTTCATGTTTTTTATAATAGAATGCTAACGACGTTAACAGTCAACTAACATAATTAACAGAACGTTTTAACCTAATGTTAGGTGAGGGCTATTTTCTATAATTCGTATCAATGAAAGGTTAAAAATATCATAATATAAAGTAAAGAATTAAAATCTACCAATTTTATAAGGTAAGGGGCTAAAACTTACTAACTTTGTAAGGTAAAGGGATAAAACTGTCATGTTATAAGATTAAGGGCTAAAACCTATCAACTTTGTAAGGTGAGGGACTAAACGTTGGTTTTTGCCGTAACCCCTGCTCAGAATTATTTGGTGACGGTGAGTACCCACCTTCTTACCCGCCTTTGATCTCCATTTCTACTGTAAACCCTTCTAGGTTTATTGGATCTTGAACTGGGTTTTGTCTTTTCTTGCGGTCAATAGCTTGGCTTGTTTGTATCGGTTGGGGCTGTAGAGAAGGAAGAGCGCGGTTTCAGTTCATGGGTATGACTTTAACGAGCTTGGGATGCGGTGTTGGAGACTGCTCCATTAAGGTTTTTCGCACGTACCCATTTACTGATTTGGTTTGTTCTGAAATTGGTTGTTGTTCAATTTTGTTTTCCTGATGTCTGATTGTATATGAATGCCAACAATTTTGTCTGTTATACTTCGAAGGAGAGAACGATGATACTGTGATTTTGGGGGTTGAAATTGCTTTGTGCTCTGTATGTTGTTTGTTCTATGGGTAATTACAAGAAACCCCGTTTGAAAGATGCAGCTCTTAGTCGCTTAATCTCTTTGGTTTTAGTCACTTTGCTAGCTGTTCTGCTGTTGGTTTGTTCATTAAGAACATCGCCTGAGATAGCTTTGAATGATTTTGATGATGAATGGAATGAAAGTTATAATTCTTCAGAACTTGAAAAATCTGGTCTTCCCTTGCAGAATGAGCTTTCAATCAAATTGGAAAGGCAAAATAGGTTGCCACCGAGAAATTTAGATCTATATCCTAATTTAGCAAAGGATCATATAACCATTGTTTTGTATGTGCACAATAGGCCTCAGTACCTCCAGGTGGTTGTTCAGACATTGTCACAAGTAGTAGGCATTAGTGAGACTCTACTCATCGTTAGTCATGATGGATTCTTTGAGGAAATGAATAAGATCGTGGAAGGTATCAAATTTTGTCAAGTGAAACAAATTTTTGCTCCTTATTCACCCCATGTTTTTTCCGAGTCCAACAGTTTTCCTGGTGTATCATCAAATGACTGCGAGGGCAAGGATGATGCAGCAAAAAAGCCTTGCTCAGGGAATCCTGATCAATATGGAAACCACCGATCTCCAAAAATAGTGTCCCTGAAACATCATTGGTGGTGGATGATGAACACAGTGTGGGATGGGCTGGAGGAGACAAGGGAGCACTCCAGACATATTCTTTTTATAGAAGAGGATCACTTCATTTTTCCCAATGCATATCGCAACCTCCAGATTCTTGTCTCATTGAAGTCTAAGAAATGTCCTGATTGCTATGCTGCAAATTTAGCTCCTTGTGATGTGAATTCAAGAGGAGAAGGATGGAATAGTTTGGTTGCAGAGAGAATGGGCAATGTGGGTTATTCTTTTAACCGAACTATTTGGAGAAAGATCCACAAGAAGGCAAAAGAATTTTGTTTCTTTGATGATTACAACTGGGATATAACAATGTGGGCAACTGTTTATCCTTCATTTGGTAGTCCAGTTTACACATTGCGGGGTCCTAGGACTAGTGCTGTTCACTTTGGGAAGTGTGGTTTGCATCAGGGCCAAGGGCAGAGCGGTGCTTGCATGGATAATGGGTTAGTAAATATCCAAGTACAAGACATTGATAAGGTTCCTACTATAAGATCAGAGTGGGATGTGCATGTTTACGAGCATCAGCCAGGGTATAAAGCTGGATTCAAAGGTTGGGGAGGCTGGGGAGATAACCGAGATCGTCAGTTGTGCTTAAATTTTGCTCGAATGTATCATTTGTTTAACGTATCTCCTTCACCGTGAAAAGTGGAGTCTTCTGCATTTAGTTATGATGTCATCAATAGATGTGTTGTATTTGTCACATTGTGCAACTCGAGTCTTGATATTAGTTTTCCAAATTTAGCCTAAAAGAAACAGATTTCTTATCGAGCAAAGTGGAGTCTTCTGCATTTGTATTTGTATTGAGACACGTATACGAGCTGGTCATGTATGCAAACAAATATTTCTCCTTTGTAGAATTGCAAATAATTGTGTGCTCTTGTCGTGAATCGACATGCTTGCTCGCAGAAATAATGCAAACATCAGGACAGGTTAATTTTACTAGTGCCATGGTTGTGGACAAGAATTGATGCAAACTCAATTTGAAGTATCAAATTTTATATTAAGTAAAATACTCCCTAGACGTGGCATACCCTCATTGGTTCATATGGCTTTAAGGATTAGCTTTCTTATTTCTAAGGGCACTCCAAGTCAAACTTAAGTAGCTTTCTTAAAGAAACTTGATTAAGCTTATAAGTTTTTTAGGGCTCTCGAGACCGAATTGGAAAGCTTTACTTACGACTTGTGAAGCTATGTGACCTTATCTTAGATATGGTTGGAAAGCTTACCTAAGAAGTTATCTAACTAGCATAACTTAGCAACAATTAGGACATTCGACCTAGAGGACAAGACAAAAAACCAAGTATAGTGGGGCTCACGTATGGATGGCAAACTCTCTTGACAACATTAGAAAGCATTAGAGTGCATTTCTTGTGTTATGACCATATGACATCTCTTTATTGGTTGTCATAATTGCAATTATAGTTTTTTTTTTTTATAGATTTCTAATGAATATAACAAGTTAGACTCACATATTTTCAAGAACTATAAAAAGGGGCCTTCTTCCCCTACCAAAGGTGATTTCTCTCCATCTCTTCACCATTTTCTCTCATTCTCCTCCTTCTATGGTTTTTTTCGTTTTTAATCATCCTCCTTCTTCCATGGTAATTACCGATACATTGCTAACTTAAGTATCAAATTGTACACACTAGAGTTACCTATAATGTGGGCACTAACCACTTTCCTTTTGCCCATGCACAGGTTTCTAATAGCTAGGACACATTCACCCAACGAGAATTCAACTTTTGCCCATAAGAGCAAATTTAAGGTTATTAAAAATGCTGCCATATGAAAACTATGAGCACCATATAAAACTTAGCCCCACAACTTCTTGTTTTTTTGTTTATTATCTTTTTTTAATATTTTAATTTTATGTTTGGGTTGAGAGAGAAAAAAAAAGAAGAAGAAGAAGAAGATAGCCATCCTTTCATTTTTCTCCACTTTTCTAAGTAAATAAATTAATAAAGAAAAAAAATAAAGCTTCTCGCCTCTTCTCTCCAATTTTTAATTTTCTTAATAACTAAAATGGAGAAATTTTTGCCCTTCCGCCCTATTCTCCACCCCAACATACCATAACGGCATAACGTTACCTTCTTTTTTTTCCGCTTAGATGCTTTGTGTGGAGAACTGAAGCAGATTCATTTTGGATGTTTCAGAGGCGCCAAAAACCATGAATTCACCATGCTTCGCTCTATCACCTCCTCCGCCCGCAGGCTTGTACCTCAAAACTTAATCCTTGCTTCTTTTACTACTTTGGCTCTCTCAGCTTCTACACAGAAAGAGACCAACTCACTTCTCTTCACACCCCAAGCCCTCAGTCCCAACATCGACCATTCCCCTTCTTCAATCCAATTGGAGAACCCAGTTAATTACTACAAATCATCTCAGTCACAGCGCAAAACATCTGTATCCTTGCTCCCCTTTTCGGGTTCTTCTGAATTATATGAATCTTTGGCTAGTTGCTATCGAGATTCTGGTTCCTTAAATGATGCAAAGGAGTTTCATTTGCAGATATTGAAATATGGGTTTGATGAAGATTTGTTCTTGTGCAATACCCTTATTGGTTTTTATGTTAGAGCTGGCGATCTGGGGTCAGCACGTAAGTTGTTTGCTGAAATGCCTGAGAGAAACTCAGTTTCATGGGCTTGCTTGATCTCAGGGTATACTCAAAATGGCATGTCCAATGAAGCCTGTCGGCTTTTCAGACACATGGTTTGTGCGGGCATTTTACCCAACCATTATGCATTTGGTAGTACTCTTCGAGCTTGTCAAGACCTGGAGTCATGTGGGCTTGAATTTGGAATGCAAATTCATGGCTTGATTTCAAAATCTAGATATGTGTCTGATGTGGTTGTGTGTAATGTGCTTATATCTATGTATGGGAATTGTTTGAAGTCCACTCATTATGCTCGCTTGGTTTTTGATGAAATACAGATTAAAACTTCAATATCATGGAACTCAATCATTTCTGTTTATTCGCGAAGGGGTGATGCAGCTTCTGCTTTTGATCTCTTCTCTAGAATGCAAAGGGAAGGTGTGGGATTCAGTTTGAAACCTACTGAATATACTTTTGGGAGCTTAATAACTGCTGCTTGCTCTTCTTGTGATTTAGGTTTGTGTTTGCTTGAGCAAATGCTCCCTAGGATTACAAAATCTGGATTTCTTTTGGATCTCTATGTGGGTAGTGCTTTGGTAAGTGGGTTTGCAAGGTTTGGGCTAGTTGATTATGCTGGAAAAATTTTTGAGAAGATGAGTCAAAGAAATGCAGTCTCTATGAATGGTTTGATGATAGGATTGGTAAGGCAGAAATGTGGTGAAGAAGCAGCTGAAGTTTTCACAGAGATGAGAAACTTGGTTGATATAAATCCTGACTCTTATGTTATTCTGTTAAGTGCTTTTGCTGAATTTTCTGTATTGGAACAGGGTAGGAGAAAGGGTAGAGAGATCCATGGGTATGTTATCCGAAATGGCTTAAGTGATTCAGTTGTTGCAATTGGAAATGGGCTTATCAATATGTACGCTAAATGTGGTGCCATTTCTGATGCTAGGTCAGTTTTTAGATTTATGCCTAACAAAGATTCAGTCTCGTGGAATACCATGATTTCTGGTCTTGACCAGAATGAATGTTTTGAAGATGCAGTCACGACCTTTTGTTCAATGAGAAGAAATGGATTGATTCCTTCAAATTTCACTTTAATAAGTACTTTGAGTTCATGTGCAAGCTTGGGTTGTAAACCACTTGGAAAACAAATACATGTTGAGGGTGTGAAACTGGGACTTGATCTTGATGTTTCTGTTTCAAATGCTCTTCTTGCATTGTATGCTGCTATTGGATGTCTAACTGAATGCCAGAAAGTTTTCTCATTGATGCCTGACCATGATCAAGTTTCATGGAATTCTATGGTTGGAGCATTCGCTGATTTAGAGGGATCAGTTCCTGAAGCAGTTACATATTTTCTGGACATGATGAGAGCAGGATGGAGGCTCAACAGGATAACCTTTATAAACATTCTTGCAGCAGTTTCATCTCTTTCACTCAGCAAATTGGGTTGTCAGATACATGCTTTGGCGATTAAATACCATGTTGTGGCAGACAGTGCTATTGAGAATGCTCTTTTGGCTTGTTATGGAAAATGTGGAGAGATGGAACAATGTGAGAAAATCTTTTCCAGAATGTCTGAGAGAAGGGATGAAATTAGTTGGAATTCCATGATATCTGGTTACATACATAATGAATTATTACCCAATGCCATGAATTTGGTTTGGTTTATGATGCAAAGGGGTCATAGACTGGATGGTTTCACCTTTTCCACTGTTCTAAGTGCTTGTGCCTCCATTGCGACATTAGAGCGTGGAATGGAAGTACATGTTTGTGCAATAAGAGCATGTCTGGAATCTGATGTTGTAGTTGGGAGTGCGCTTGTTGATATGTACTCAAAATGTGGTAGGATAGACTATGCCTCACGATTTTTCAGCTTGATGCCTATAAGGAATGTCTATTCTTGGAATTCAATGATATCAGGCTATGCACGTCATGGACATGGGGACAAAGCTTTGAACCTCTTTACACATATGAAGCTTGACGATCAATTACCAGATCACATAACATTTGTTGGTGTCTTATCAGCTTGCAGCCATGTTGGATTGGTTAATGAAGGATTCAAGCATTTCAATTCCATGAGCAAAGTATATAATTTGGTGCCTAGGATAGAGCATTACTCCTGTATGGTAGATCTCCTTGGGCGGGCTGGTGAACTTGATAAGATGGAAAGCTTCATCAATAACATGCCAATGAAGCCTAATGTTCTTATTTGGAGGACAGTTTTAGGGGCTTGCTGCCATGCAAATGGACAGAAGACAGATTTAGGTAGAAAGGCTGCTGATATGCTTTTTGACTTTGAACCTCAAAATGCTGTGAATTATGTGCTTTTGGCTAACATGTATGCTTGTGGGGGGAAGTGGGAACATGTGGCAGAGGCTAGGATGGCATTGAGAAAGGCAGGAGTTAAGAAGGAAGCAGGCTCTAGTTGGGTCACCATGAAAGATGGCATCCATGTATTTGTGGCAGGTGACAAATCACACCCAGATAAAGATTTAATCTATGACAAGCTCAAGGAGCTTAACAGAAAAATGAGGGATGCTGGATATGTACCGCAGACAAGGTATGCATTATATGATCTTGAACAGGAGAATAAGGAAGAACTCCTGAGTTATCATAGTGAGAAACTAGCTGTTGCTTTTGTTCTCACTCGCAATTCAGGATTGCCTATTAGGATAATGAAAAACCTTCGCGTTTGTGGTGACTGCCATGATGCTTTCAAGTACATATCAAAGATTGTTGATCGACAAATAATACTGAGAGATTCAAACAGATTTCACCATTTTGAAGATGGCAAGTGTTCATGTGGAGATTACTGGTAATTGATGTGGTTCTCAATTTAGGCATAGTTGATCGTTTCTTACCAATTGGGGGAGCATTCGACGTTATAGGCAACATTTTGGTCTAACTGCCAAACTTTTGGAAGCCAAAACTTTGTATTCTTTTTCTTTCTACTCAGTCATAGATGTTCACTCCCATGATTATTGCCCAATTTATATAAGCTTGAAACTACAAATATCTTCTATATAGTGATAAATTTTTAATAATTGATGTAATTTGACCAAAAAAATGATTTGTTCTATATATGATTTTTATTATTTTGAAACTAATTTAACAAAAAATATATAACAGGTACAAGAAAACATATATATATATATATATTGATAAAATGTGAATTCTTATTCCCAATAACAAGTATACAAAGCAGCACCACTAATAAAGGCTGCTACCAGATAAGATTTGTACTAAAGAATGAATAGATAATCAACAGATAGAACGCAATCCTGAATTACAGCTCCAATCCCCCACTGTAATGCAATTGATCGAGACAGTGGGGATGCTCTTCGACTTGCAAAACTCAAAATTTTATCCTGAACATCAGCAATAACCAACTGTATAATCTCAAATTCGGAATGAAACAACGATTAATGTATATGCTTATTGCGTTCAAACCAGATATGATAAATTGTAGCATTCCACACGAGCTTGATAAGGGAATTATAAAGAGCCTTCCTCTTGGTTTTCCTTTTCATCCATTGCATCAGTGGCATCAAAGATGTAATAAATGGAATGCTAGCCCTGTCAGATATCTCTCTCCAAACACTAGTAGAGAATAAACATGCAAAGAAAAGATGGTCCCGTGTCTCACTTGCCTTGTTGCATAGCACACAGATATCATTGATCTGGGCTGACCACTTGTTTTGCCTAGAGCGTGTGGACAGCCTATCAAGTAAAGCTAGCCAACTTACAAAACTATGTCTTGGTATAGAATTAGCAAACCACACAAGTATGAACCAATCTACCCTTTGTTGTTTGCTTCGAAGACATTCCCATGTAGACTTTGTTCTAAAGGAGACAAAGGAGGAGGGTAACCAAATTAATAACACTATCTACATGGTCTGTAATTGGGTACAATGCCCCACATAAGGCTATTTGAACCTACAAGAGTGAAGGAAACCTTGTTGGTGGCCATTTCCAATAGTTCCCATGCACTACAAGAGAAAGCTTAGCCTAAAGAGGCAAAATAGCTGCTCTAACAATATCAGAACCATAGATTTTTATTAGAGGTCCGTGAGGATGCCAATCACCAAACCACAAATATCTGCCTTCACCATTACCCACCTGATGCTTAATAAAAGGCCTAACAACACTTCTTGACTGTAGTATTCTCCTCCAACTCCAAGAAGCATCATTAGGAACTTTCAGAGACCAAAAACTCCTACCTCTCAATTGATATGCCTTAATCCAAGCAACTCAAATTGAGCCAGCCTTAGTAAAAAGCATCCATATGATTCTTGAAACACATGTTCTGTTCCAATCATAAAGAAATTTGAGTCCTAGTCCACCTTCAGGCTTAGGATGACATACCTTCCAATAGAAAAGAACTACACAGTTTTTCAACCTCTGTTATAGTTCTCTTTGGCAAAATAAAAATGGAGCTCTAGAAAGTAGTAACACCTTGAATCACAGAAGATATAAGTTGTAGCCTCCTTGCAAATGATAAGTGCTTGGCAGACCAAGAAGTAATTCAACTAGTAATTTTCATAAGAAGGGGTTTTAAAGCTGCAGCACTCAATCTACCAGTAATAAGTAGTAACTCCCAAGTATTTAACATGTCATGAACCCAGCTTTAATCCATAAGTCTCTGTAATGATCTTAACCATTGAATTTTGCACTCCACAACAAAACAATTCAGATTTCTGGTAATTAACTTTTAAACCAGTCACTTGATAAAATTGCTTCAAAATGCTATCAATAGTTTGCATGCCTTGCAGTGATCTATCAGTAAAAATCAACAACTTATCAGCGAAACACAAATGGGTAAGACCTACTTTCTTGCACTTTGGGTGGAAAGGGAGTGCACCTGTTGCAGTTGCCTTATTCAACATCCTTGAAAGGGCTTCTATACAAATAACAAACAAATATGGAGATAAAGGATCTCCCTGACTAACCCCTTTTCTGCCATGAAAATAACTTTCTAAACATCCATTCAAAGAGATCGAGAAAGCAAGAGAAGTGATACAAACCTCTATCAATCTTATAAATTTGTTAGGAAAACCCAATGCTTTGAAAGCCTTGAACGAGTAAGACGATTTTGCCAGAGTCAAATGCTTTCATAAGGTCTAGCTTTACTGCACACCTTGAGGGTAGCTTGTCCTTGTGATAATGCTTGAGAAAACATATGTATGTTAAAGGTATCACACAAGTCCAAGTTAAGAGGTATTTTACTTTAATATGAATGAAATCCAAACTGACATAATCAGTTCGACCAAATGCCCGGTACTCTTTGGATTATATGTTAGGATATAAGATATGTATTGTTAGTAACTTCGATTATTTCTGGCCTGTTCAAGTTGGTATTAAGACTCATTGTAATAAGTAGTTTAGGCTGAATTTAGTAAGACTTGGAGGCAATCATTGTATGCTTCACATATGGCATTCCTTTATTTAATATCTTAACCATATAAAAAATTATTGTAACAATAAAATATTTCTTAAATTTTTAAATCAATATCTATTGAACATTAAAAAATTATTAATAAATACTTATTAAACTTTAAAAAATTCTAAATAAACACCCAGTAAGTTTTTTAAAAAATACCTAATGAAGTTTAGTTCAAATATAATATATATTAAATATTGTAATATAATCTTAATATGATTTGATTTCTTATTAATTAATTTATTTTTTATTATAAAATTTGACCTAACTTTTCTTTAATATCTTTTGGGTTATACATTATTAGGCTCACAATTTATTTTTTATCATATAAATAGAGAAAAAAAGTGTAAAAATTAAACATATAGACTCCACACAAAATTTACATTTAATTTAAAATTAGTTAAACTTATAATTTTTTTTATTATATCATTAATATGAAATATTTTAACTTAACAAATCCCCTAACATATAAAATTTATATTTAATTTAAAATTAACTATTAAGGAATTAGATAACTCCCTTTATATTTAATTTATAAATTTCTTTAATAATTGATCCGCGTAGGAAGTATCGAGAGAAAGTACCCGAAACCTTCACCACCTCTTCGAAACATGTCCATGTCTCCTTTTTTAATCGTTAAACTACAATTGTTAGTCCCCAATCTTCCAGATTTTTGCACTTTAGTTCTCAGATATCAAAATTCTACAATTAGATCTTAAATCTCACAAGTTTATTAAAAAATTTATTAATACAAAGAGAAAGAATATATAAATAGAGATCATTGACAAATTTTCATAATTTATTAATTTAGTAACAAATTATGAAATTTTGTCTTTATTTTTTAAAATTAAATTGAGTAGATTTGTACACTCAGATCTTATATATATATATATACATATATTTATCAACCATTCATACTTTTTTTTTATAAATTAATGCATTTAAAATTATTAATTATAAAAAAATACTCTAAGATATATATATAGTTAATTATCATTATAAAAATTTATAATTGGTAAATTTTTTTACAAAAAAATGCAAACAAACCACACAAAACGTGGCTTAAGATCTAGTTTAATATAAATTTCCTATAAAAAAAATTACGGATATTTTAGATTTGGAGGTCTAGTATTTAAATACTCCTAGTTCTCATATTGTGTAATTTCTTTCTCATTGAAGTAAGAAATCTTAAATTTGACTTGCATGACATATGGATAAAATGAAATTAAAAGATGAGAAAGGATTACTTCCAATTATGTAATCCAAATTTTTTCTAAAAAAAAAGTATGTTTAGTTTAGTTGTTTTGAACATGTCATAACTAAGTGGTAATATCTAATAATTAATAATATTTGGAGCATAAACAACAATAAAGATCAACCATCATATTTCCTTTATTAACTGTAACCTATTCAAAATAACTAAACCAATCAAACTCAAATCTTACTATATTATAAATTCAATTTTTAATAAATTCTGAATAAATACCTAATATATCTTTAAAAATCCTTAATAAATACCTTTAAAAAACTCTAATAAATCTATACTAAATTGAAAATTGTATACACTTTAATCACCCTAAAATACCCGATTCTTTGTTTTCTTAAGCCCAAATTCCATCCTTCTAAAATACTGTTGGCCCATATTGTCATTGAGGCTTTTACTTTCCAAGATTGTTTTACCAATGTCTGGCTTCTTGGTTGGGCCCATTCCTATATTGCTCAATTGCAGTTTCTACAACTGCCATTTCTAGATAACTGGTAGTTACACTTCCGAGTGATAAATTACAATTAATTTTTCTAATAGTTTCTTTCATAATCATGTCTACTTCTATTTTTTGGGATAATTAATTTCCTTTTCTAAGGTCTTCGGCTTCTTCTTCTTGAAGTAATGATTTTTAAATGATCGAATGATCTATTAGCAAACCGTAGGATGCTAAGATTATGGATTTAATCGAAAACTTCATTTTGTGTTACTGCTTTACTATTTTTTTCATCTTTTTGAACATTATTTATTCTGTTGTTGTGACTAAGAATTAGAAAGCTGATGATCCATGAATAAATTCCATTTTTGCCAAACAAGAAAAATTAGTTTTTGCATGAAAAACTTAGTCTGTACAAAGTTTAATTCTATGTACTGATCTCGATATTTGCTAATTTTTATGAGTTTTTTCATAAGAAGCTACTCCAATTTTCTCTTCCTTTAATTTAGGAAGACGTATCATTTGCTTAGGAAACTTACAAATGCAGCAATATAGCAGCTACAACAACTAACTAGAAAAATTCCTCTTTGGTCAGGGGTATTTTATGTGGACAATTTGGCTTACAAAAGGATAGGGAAATGTGCAGCAATATAACGATTGTAGAAGATAAAACAGTTACAAATGGAACTACCACATACAATGATTTCAAGTAATAATTTCTATTGATTGCAATCAAAGTAGATGTAGAAAGTGCATAGCAGAGGTAGAGCCAAACAGAGAAACCTGCATTAGGAAACTCCCCATGGAAACCTTCATTATGTTAGTGTGATTGCGATGGTAGTCCTAGGTAGATGACCCATATGAGCTAAACTGTCTCAGACGTATGACCTCGAGGTATCTTAAACATCACTTAAAACGTGATGAGCTCAATTGAGGTTAAGCTTGTCCCTTCTATATTAATTATACAGTAACTCTATACATATTCAGATTTTTATAAAAAATTTCTATGATAATTGACACATGTAATCTCGTTTTTCCATGAATAAAAATGTGTGTATGCCCTCTTTGAAGATTATAAATACCCTCTAAGGGTCCTTTTTCAAAGGTAATTAAAACTGATATCAAACTTTCTCTTTGCTTTTTTTTTTTTTTGGCAGACTTGATTATTGCTCATTTAGACATCAAAGTGTTTATCCTAATGATCAACCTTTAAGGTTTTGCAAGTTAACCAAAAAAAAAACCTGAGCCAGAGAAGAATTTGGAATTTTTTGCAACTACAGTGATCTTCTGTTTTTGGTTTGGATACGAAAGTTCTTAAATAAACAAATTTATATTCTTTTTCTTTTTCTTTTTCTTTTTCCAAACAGGCTTGCAAAATAAAAGGGAATTTTTTTTTTCTGTTATAGTTTCCCAAGATTGAAGAGGTTTGGGTTTACGTCATGTTTGGGCTATTTGTATGTGTATCTAGGTAATTTGTTTGCAATTAGATTCATTCTTACCATTAATGAATCTGAAAACAAAAGCACATGCAAGAATGCTAATATGATCAACAAATATGTACTCTTTTTTATATCCCTTTACTTTTCCTTTTATTGAAAATCCTGCATGTGAGCTCAACACAAGGTTTGCATCCAACCTAAAACCAATTGGCAATAGGTGGAGTAGCCCTCCTTGTATTTAACCCACAAGTTTCTTATTTTTATACTCAATGTGGGATTTTCCCATTTAATACGCCCCCTCACGTGCAGGCTCGTTATGAATGTCGGGTCCTGTCACGTGGGTTAATACGCCCCCTTAAATGCAGGCCCGGTATTAACTTCAGGTCCTGTCAGGTGAGCTAACAACGGGCTTCCAATGGTAGAACCTGGGCTCTGATACCATGAGGAAAAGTAATGTTCTTGTATATACTGAAGCTGGAATGCTTGGAACCAAGCCATGCCCTTTTCCTATGGAGCAAAAGCTGAAACTCACTCCTAGTACTGGTTCCCCTCTATCTGATCCTATGCAATACAGGAGACTGATTGGAAAGCTAATATATTTGACTATAACTCGCCCTGAAATTTCATTTGTTGTCTATACTCTTAGTCAATTTATGCAAGCTCCTCGACAACCTCATCTAGATGCAGCAATGCGGGTTTTGCGATGCAGGTTTTGCGATGCAGGTTTTGCGATACTTGAAATCCTCACTTGGACAAGGGATTTTCCTCTCTTCATCAAGTTCTTTACAACTTTCAGCCTATTGTGATTTTGATTGAGCTAGTTGCCCCACAACAAGGAGATTTACAACTGGCTACCTCACTTTGCTTGGCAACTCACCTATATCGTGGAAAACCAAAAAAACAATCCACAGTCTCAAGACCATCAGCAGAAGCTGAATATAGAGCTATGGCTTCCACTGTTAGTGAACTCATATGGCTCAAAGGCTTGCTCAAGACATTACGAGTTGATACTTCTCAACCAATGCAATTGCATTGTGACAATCAAGCAGCTATTCACATAGCCACAAATCCAGTCTTTTGTGAACGCACAAAACACATTGAACTTGATTGTCATTTTATTCATCATTGGATTCAAGTTGGTCTTATTAAGACTTCTCATGTTCGCTCCAACCTACGAGTGGCTGATATATTTACAAAGGCATTGGGAGGTGATCAATTTCAATTCCTTCTCAGCAAGTTGGGCATTACAGATTTACATCCACCAACTTGAAGGGGGGGTGTTAGAGATATTCACTAGCATAAAATCTCAATCACAGCACAAAATCAATCACTAGCTGTTAGCTAGCCGTTAGGCACATTTATTTCCCAGTTTTTCCCTATTCAATTTTGTACCGTTAGCCTAGGATCTTTTGCCTTAGCTTGTCTAGCATTGTATATATATGTACTTGAATTCTTTATAATAATATATACAAGAACATTACTTTTCCTCACCTTTAAAATTTTTTTGTTTTACTTATGTAATTAGATAATCATTTTATTCAGTGTTTTGACTTTATGAATGACTATTATTTGCTTTTAATGGTTTTAGATGTTGAACAACATCATGTAGGCATACAGAAGTGACTTCAAAAAATTACTTTGCAAACTTTTGAAGGTAACAGTGCACCATTAAAAGCTATTTGTTCCACCTAGAGTGCTAAGGTTATAGAACTATTTTATGCTTGAGAGTAGGAGATAAGGTATTTTGGTTCTTTTCATAATGGGCAATCTCTTATTATCTTCTATTTTTTATTTTTCTCTTTCTAAAATTTGCGATTTTTTGTATGTTGTGAGGTCTTTAAACTAAAAATTTTGAGCAAGGTTGCATTTTCTTCCAATGAATATGTATTCTTGTTGAAGTAATTAATTTCTTTCTATTATTTTTTTTATTAGATTGAAATTAGTTACATATATTAATTAAGTAAGAAAATGAAAAATCAAATTTGTAGAGCTTGAATACAACATTCACATAAGGTGAACAATGTTAATTCAGCATCCATGCCACTAGACCAGTAGGTTAATTAATCTCTTTCTATTAGATGATGCATTTGTCAAGATGTTATAACTCATATTTTATTTTATATTGATTCAAGATTTATTATTATTATTTTTTTAAATAGAAGTCAACAAGAGCCTCTTCTTCTGAATAGTGGGTGAGCTATAAGCATCGGAAACTCAGTGATTTTAATTAATTTGCATATGGTGACGCTGGGCGTCGAGCGTAATCTGATTGAGTTTTTTTTAACAGGAGGATGGTACTCAAATCACACTCTTTATATGCCTGAAAATACTATTATTAAAGCAGGAGAGGTCATTGTGTCACCAAGGACTTCTCTCAAGTGTAATATGATTTGATTGACAAAAATTCATGAATAAAGGGTTACGATAAGCTATATAATGGATGTTGAGCCTTTTGCCATAGGAAGAAGTACATCTAGGCGTACGCAGTCAGACATGCTTTAGCAGCTTTATCATCAAAACCCTTTTTGAGGGGAAGAGGTAGTGACATTCAAGTACAGATACTTGGAAAGTTGATACTCTATATTTTGATAGGTTAAATGTTAAATTTGGTCTTATAATTTTAGTGAGTTGTATGTTTTTGATCCTTTAATAATTTTTTGTACTTTTTTTATTCCTCAATTATACAAAATGCACTCCGTTAGTCTTTTTGTCAATTTGAGCCGTTAACTCGGTCACATGGCATTTTTATATTTTTTTTATGACATGGTGAGCACAACTTAAAAAGATACTGATCTGGATTTTTTTTTATGACATGTCATCTTTTTCACGCCAAAGCTCCTCCCACGTTGCTTGCAAACTGGTCTCTCATCTTCACTCTCTGCAAAATTGATCTTAACCCATTTCTTCTTATTCTCTGAATGTTTTCTCATCTCCACTCCATCTACAAAATCGATCTTAACCCATTTCTTTTTCTTCGATGAATGCTTTCTCATCTCCACTCCATCTGCAAAATCAATCTTAATCCATTTCTTCTTCTTCTCTTTTCTCGGGGGAACTTAAGCTATTGGGTTTCATTGAAACCTCAAACCTGGCAGATCTTATCAAATCAAATTAACCCTGCAATAAACAATACCAATCAAACTTTAATCAAATTCCAACAAAAATACAATCAAATTTTAATCAAATTCTAACAAAAATATAATCAAATTGTAAATCAACCCCCAAATTTATTAACAACTAGGAATAGAAATCAAAAGAAGAATGAAAAAACATGAACCCAGTTGCTCAGTTCTGTCGAACCCAGCTTTCTCAGCAAAGCTGGGTTCGGTTGAAACCCAGCCTTGCTGGCTTTGTCGAAACCCAGATATGCTGGGTTTGTCGAAACCCAAATCTACTGGGTTCCAATGAATGCAGCCTTGGCTGGTGGACGAACCCAACAAGGCTAGATTTCCATCAAATCCAGCCTTGCTGGATTCCGATGAATCTAGCCTTGGTTGGTCAACGAACCTAGCAAGGCTGGGTTTCCATCGAACCCAGCAGCTGGGTTCGACGAAACCCAGTCTATCCCAAGGCAGGAAAGAAAGAAAGAAAGAGAAAGAAAGAAAGAAAGAGAAAGAAAGAAGGGGAAGAAGAGGGATTGGGAGGGTGAGGGTAATAAAGTAATTTTATTTGTTTTTAATTAAAATATACATATTAATCTATGTGGCATTTTTATTTATTTATATAACATAATTATAATATATATTATTGCCACTGTAGGCATTAAAAAAAATGTCAAAATTAAAATATACTTACCCTAGTAAAACTCTTGAAAGTTAGGGTAATAAATCTTTAAAGAGATATTTTCTCTTTAATTTTAAAAAATAATAAATAAATATATTAAAATGACCAAATTATCCTTAAAGTGAAGGGTATTTGAGGTCATTTGGAAAAATTCCTTTGCCTATAAATAGGCCATCATTTGAGAGAAAAAAAAAAAAAAAGGAGAAGAGAGGAAGAAGGAAGAAGGAGAAAAGGAGAGGAATGACAAGCTTCAAGCTCCCTCAACAATTCTCGAAGTTTCAAGCCCCAACCTCCTGCCAAGGGTAAGCTCCAAATCCATGTCAAGGAGAAAAAGTTTCAAGTACAAGTCTTAAATCCCTTGAATGAAAAGAACAAGCTTAAGCCTTTGCCCTTCAGCCCCAACCTCCTGCCAAGGGTAATCTCCAAATCCATGTCAAGGAGAAAAAGTTTCAAGTGCAAGTCTTAAATCCCTTGAAGGACAAGAACAAGCTTAAGCCCTTGCCCTTCAGCCCCAACCTCTTGCCAAGGGTAATCTCCAAATCCATGTCAAGGAGGAAAAGTTTCAAGTGCAAGTCTTAAATCCCTTGAAGGACAAGAACAAGCTTAAGCCCTTGCCCTTCTAACATTCAGCTGTTAATCAGAGGATCGTGCTGTTCTAAGACGTGTTACTCTTCAAAACCTAAGCACATGCACTGCAGCACTCTAAATCAGAGATTGTTTCCCATTTTTCTTCAAGTTTATAATAATTGTATTTAGTTTGCAAATCAATACATATTATTTGATTTTGCAGATTTTGTGACTACAGCCACATCATCAAAAAAATTAAAAAATAATGCCACATGAAATTATTTAACTGCCACATCATACTTAACTGATAGAAGGACCAAAATTGTGCAATTTTTAGAGTTAAGGGATCAAAAAAATGCAAAAAATTTTTAAGGAACCAAAAATGTGCATTTTGTAAAGTTGAGAGACTAAATTTAACATTTAACCTATTTCGATGCTTGTCTTTTCACTTAACTAAAATCATTTTTGTTTTTATAAAATCAACGAAATTTTCAACAAACACAATTATATAAAAAATATATATAATAATAAATTTTTTTTGAAAACGTCAGAAAACTTTTGAAAATGAGAGATTTTTTTTAATCATTATAAAAATTAAATTTTTTATCAATTAAATCTAAACATTATAATTTGAGATAAATTGTTCAACTTAATGGTCCGGTTCAATAAACATTGTTTCTTACATGCGTAGTTTGTAGGAATTTTTCATGCAATTTAATCGAGGAAGAGGAAATACATTAAACCATGAACAAAGGAAGAGTTAGATCAAGTTCATTGAAATGATGTTTTTTCTTTTATATGTTGTAATTTTTCTATGATATAAAATTTTTTTTATTATGTTGCACTATTAGAGTAAATAATATGGAGAAATGTTTTTTTTAATGAAATATTGCATAAACTTTTTTATCTCAAGGATGAAAGTTGCAAGTTTATGCAAATCTTTTAATGTTTTTACATATTGGTTCGTTAAAAGGGATACGAAAGATCTACTCGCTTTGGTTGTCCCAATGCAATAGCAAATTTAACTTGACATTCTACTAGCCTCACTTTCAAACTTAGTATAAGAAGTTTTTCTACAAAAAGGAGAGGGGATCATTAGACCATGAGCACATTCTTAGTCTCATTTTCCTTTTAGTTAAACTTGAAAAAGTATTTTTCATATTTTATGATCAAAATGCCTTGAATCTCACTAATAAGGTATATTTTATGGGAAAAAATAAATCATTTTGGACAATTCACTATTTTCTATTATTAATACATTCAATTTATTTTTTAAAATAAAAAAATATTTTATAGGTCAAATTGCACAATAAAAGTATAGTATCACTTATGAACCTGTTTACACCTAAAATAAACCAATAGGTAAGGCCACGTGTCAATGTAAAGCCCAATTATCAAGAAAATCAATAGACTAGATTTGGGTTGGGTTGGGCTGGCTTACAATTTAACAGTTCAGACGGATTTCCAAGGAGGTTGGATCTTAGGTGGCAGAAGATAAGATTGGATCTAGTAGTTTGAGTTTGATTTAAAATGGGAAATTGAGGATTTTTAGGTAGTTATCTTTAAGGTTGTTGGAGATAAGGTTAAATAAAAATTAGATAACT